TTTCCTTCCCACCAGGATAAGAAAAATATAAAGACCAAAAGCAGTTCTCCAATTGAGGGAACAGAGTGAGAGCCAGGCCTTTAAAATGTGGTTGTTTTTTTTTTCTTCAGAGCTTATATTTTGGTTTTGGATATAAAGACTCTTTCTCCAGCAGTTTGTTTACTTCAAAGCCTTTTTCTTACAAAGTAGAGCAACCTCTGTATTACTTTGGAGATTTCTTGTCCATTCCATGATTGGCCATTTTAGGTGTGGATGAGCTTTGAAAACCTTGAGGAAGGAAGGCCAGGAATTTTTAATACGGCCTATTTTCAGGTCCTTCCTTTAAGGTTGACCGAATCATTAACTTTCATTCAATGACGACAGTGTTTAGAATGTTTCAGTTAAGGATCATCAGGTTTAGAACATCTCGTCTGAGCCGAGTTTATAGTGCCTTATTTAAGGACAGAGTCGACTCAGTTTGGCTCCCTGGACACAAGTGGATTCTGAAGGTAGGAAAAGACATAAATAGAAATCAGGGAGCTTAAAAGTGACTGCTGGTTATTTTATACCAAAAAGAGAGATAAATGTTTAGAAACGACAAAACTACAAAATACAAAGTTAGGCTGATAGAATTAGGCATAGAGGAGAAAGGAAATAGAAAAGTTGTTGAATATACAACCTCCATTCTGACAATTTTCGCTCATTTTGAGGATCAGGAAATTTTTCAACTCATTTTGAGTTGTTTTCAACTTTATTTTCATTAACACTTTCACATACCGTTTATCAAATAAAAGGTGGAGAAGGTCTTTGCTGCGCTCTTCAGAAGGTTAATGAAACCGAAGTAGTAGGAAGGGGAATGCCTGAAGTGGATATGTTTTCTTTTTGTTATTTTACTGTTGTTCCATATTTATAAATACTTTATCTGTATTTATATGTTTGTGTAGTACAAAGAGAGCTCTGTTTGTCACATGTCATAGAACCTATAAAGAATTATTTGGGCAGAAGAGAGCAGAGTCTGTGAAATAAAATGAACATTACTTTCTTCTCTCAGGCCCGCAGAATATCTTCAAAGACGTTTTGAAGCCGAACAGTACAAGATTAAAGTGGAAAAACAGCTGGTAAGTAAATAAGGCATCATAGAATGAAATCTGTGAAAGAAATTGAATGAAAATCCAAAAGATGATCTGATGTCTTTCTAATAGCAGACTGTAACACTGACAGGTAGAAAGTTTTGCTCTAGCAAATTTGCTGATATGCTCCACAATGCTTATCTTGAGGTTTTATTTTCTAACACAAAACTGTAGCAATGTAAGATTCTATAACTTTTTGCTCCAAAAATATACACTGCACTCTTCAGTGGAATAGGGAGAGTGAATTTGAGTGAGCTCTGAAGGAAAGGATTCTAAATGAAAATTCTTTTGCTCTGGGATTTCTTTGTACATCCACAGGGACTGCGACCATCCTCTGCTGACCCATATCATGACCAAATACAGCGGCAGAAAATAAAGGAAGAACATCTCGAAAACCATCAGCAAGGCATGTTTAGAAAGAAGGAAATGAAAGAACAGGTAAATGAAATATCTTCCTTAGCTGCTCAAAGATGTCTTCTTACACTCCTTGACAATAGTATTCTTTACATAAGAATTGATCTTTTCCATCTGACCGCTAGAAAAATACAAGCTGTTTTCATCTGGCTCCATCTTACCTAAACTGGTGAAGACTTGCACAAAAGCTGGTGTCCATAATCATTTCATGAACCATGGCCTTGATTTTGATTTCACTTCTGAGATAGAGGAGTTACAAACTAATTTAGAGGAACAAACTAATTAGAGGAGAACAAACTAGTGTTGGAGGACGGTAGATCCTCATATTTACAAATCAGAGAAAATAGTCATACATGCGTTATTAATGTATGTATATTTGTTGTTCATATGTCATACTGTGACATTTAAAATGTGACATAATAGTATGTGATGAATACTACTTCCCTGGTATAACCTTTGGAGATTATTTTACACGGAAACAATATATTTTTCTAGTTTTGCTTTTGGGTGACAGAGAAAACAAACTGATACTTCTTTCTTACATGAACACATGTAAATACATTTAATCTTTCTATCTTTGATTTATTAAAAAATGCCAGAATAAATATAAATATATTAACTTCTACGTAATGGTGAGACTTTGGAAAAAGAATATATTCATCATATACACATTCTTCAGAGACCGTTGCTGTTTAGTTCTACAAAGTCTGTACTAAATATGCCAAAAAGTCAAGTTTTACAGATTTGTCCATTTGTAACATGGGCAAATTGAGATAGATTCTCATATAAACAATAACAGAAATGTCCTTACCACAAAAATTGTCTTTTGGTCAAGTTTGAAGTTTTTACTTCAAAGCATAGGAATGTTGAAGCTTCTCCAAGAAAAGATTACCAGGTTTTGTTTTGTTTTGTTTTGGGGAGCAGGCTGCAATACAATAAATACTACGTAATTTTTTGTCCTCCTAATTTCCAGTCCTGTATTTTTGGATTGCAACCTTAGAGTCATTACTTAGACAGTTCTTAAGTTATTCTTGGAATTAGCTGTTTAATATATAATACTACAGAAAAGCAAGTCTGGAAATAGTCTGGAAAACTTCAAAAAGTTTAAAGTCCAGAAGAGTTGTAACTCCAAAATGTTCTCTAATAGGAAGTATCAAGCAATCTTTAAAATTGGCAGTAAAGGACACTGATCCCCTTTTCTCAAATATACACAGTTTTATATCCATAATGATCCCTTTTTCTCAAATATACACAGTTTTATATCCATAGAATATTTTGTTTAGCTAGTGTTATTTTTGTATGTATTTCTAATACATATGTATTCTACCTTACCTTTAATAGGAGTACCTGAAACAATTGCAGAAAATTCGGGAAGAGTACCACAGTGATATGAAAGAATTTAGATTTAGAGCAGGAGTACTCCAGGTAACAAAGCCTAAACATACACACAGCCATATTTCCTTTTTCCTTTTTAAGCTAGTACACTTGATTAGAAATTGAAATGAACTTTTTCTAAAAATGTTCCCTAGGAGAATCAAAAAATACAAGATAAAACCTATCTTTTGAGGCAAGGGAAGGCTGAGGACCAGTCTGAAACCAAGGATACAGCTGGAACAAAAGAAGAATCACTTCAGGTATCAATACAATCTCCTAGCCTAAACAGAACTTTTTATGCAATTCCCTCATGGTCTTTGGTTTGCTCGCTGTGAAAAATCTGAAAAATGGTAAAGCTTAAGTCTTACCTAATACAGCTCGCACTGTATGTGAAAGCCTCCTTAGGTTCCCTTCGTGAATAGCTGTCGTGGGTTAGGTTGAACC